CCGAGCAAAAAAATAGCAACGAAAATAGTATACAGTAAGCTATGCGATGGTTGAAAATAGAACTGCTTCGTGGCGTTTGCGAAGGACGGAAGAATGTGTATAAAGAAAGAGAATCGAAGAAAGTGTCGAAAGAAGATTCAAATGGATCGTCATTTAATAAAACACTAAACGGATTAAAGAAAAAACAACTATTTTGCGGCCGGGAAATATTTGACATCAGCACAGGGATTTTGAACGAGGAAAATCCGCTTTAACGACTTGAAATAGGAACTTCCTTCTCTCACACGAACGCACACACGCACGCACACACGCGCAGTCACACACACTACATACAGTCAAATGGTAATGATAATGGTAGTTATAATAATGATGATGTTTACGAGGATAACAAATACAATAGCAATAACAATAATGATATTAATGATAATGATGATAATAGTGTTGATAATACTACTAATAATAATGACAAGAATAACAATGATAATGATGATAATTATAATAATAGCAATAATAGTAACATCAGTAACAAAAAATAATAACAATAACGTTGATAATGATGATAATAATGATAGTAATACTAATAATGATAATGATATTAATAATGAGAATAATGATAATAACAATAATAATAGTGAGAATGATAATGATAATGATTAAAGTGGAAATAACAATAATAATAACAATGATAATTGTGATAATGATAATGATAATAATAGTAATAATAATAATTACGATAATGATAATAGTAATAATGATGCTAATAAAAATGATAATAGAAATGGTAATAATAATAATAATAATAGTAATAATGATAGTAATAACAAGAAAATGATAATGATAGTTATTACAATTACAGGAAGAACAAAAATAACAAAATGATAATAATGATAATGATAACAGTAATAATTACAGAAACGATAATAAAGATAATGATGATAATGATATTAAAAAAGATAATAACAATAATAATGATAACAATAGTAATGATGACTATATTGATGAGTATAATAATGATAATAATAATAGTAATGATAATAGTAACAATAATTGTTAATATCATTTTTATCATTATCGTCATTTTCACTATTATCATTATTGTTATTATTATAATTATCATTATAATTATGGTTATGATGATAAGAATAGAAATAATAAAAATGATAACAAGAAAAACAATGAAATAGTAATCATAATAGTAACAATAACACAAACATTTGAGAAAAGCTCATTTCGATTCGCTCTTAAAAGCAAGTATCGCACAAGTAATGGGAATTCTATGGGCGAACTTAATAAAAAAAAAAAAAAAGAATTACACCATACACAACCCAGTGAATAATTCCAGCAAGAAACGCACATCTGGCACTCTGGAATCCCTCTGGCAACGAGGATCTTGGAGCGGGCGGTCAGTCGGCGGTGAGGCGCGGTCACGTTCGCACCTTCTCCTTAAATAAAGTCAGGCGGTCCCGTCGAATATTCTTGGTTTGACAATTTGATTTAACATAAATACAAACATTCTCGAATATAGCTCTTGGTTTGACAATTGATTTGGCCTTTGACAAACATTCTCGAATATAGCTCTTTTTTGACAAACATTCTCGAATATAGCTCTTGGTTTGATTTAACATGAATACAAACTAACACAAACATTCTCGAATATAACTTTGGCACTGATGCTTGGCTGGAAAAAGTTGACGGAAAGGTTTTCAGACGGAAACGATCATTATCATCTGACTGGAAAATCGACAATTCGCTCAAAAAAGAAAAAAATCAGAAAATTGTCAAAAAAAATACGGAAAAGTGCGTGTGACAACATCTTTAGTGTAATCAGAAGACAGTCGGTTTGTTAAAATTGCGCCAGGCCCGACCCAATGAATTTTCATAAATACAGATGCAGAAACAAAGGCATATCTGTCTATATCTGATATACATTTAATTATCTATTTGCCGGGTTGATATACATGTCTAGACTGATACATATGCATTTATTTCTCTATTTATGCATGTCAAGTATACGAATATTCTTTGGGTCGGGCCCGCTTAACAAACCGGGGTATATATATATATATATTATATATGATGTATATATATACACACATATGTATATATACATCTACACACATCATCTATCTATCTATCCCACACACACACACACACACACACACACACACCACACACACACACACACACATATATATATATATATACACATATATATGTATATATATATATATATATGTATATATATACAAATAAATATATATGTATATGTATATACACATATATATACATATATACATCTATCTATATACACACATATCTATATCTATCTATCTATCTGTATATATGTGTGTGTGTGCGTGTGTGTGTACACACACACACACACACACACACACACACACACACACACACACACACACACACACACACACACAGCTAGGTAGATGTACTAGATTAATATCTTATCTCATCAACTTCATAACTGCTTATCTGCCACCCGCCAATTCGGATTTCTCGCTAACATTTAGCACCTTAAGTGTAGCGCATTTAACCTAGCATACGCAATTCCTTCAAAGTAGCACAGGTGTACCATCCCAAACGTAATGCAAGAATACCATCTATATTATAACACAGGTATTGCATCAAACTCACAATTTCGCGTATATTGTTGATGCATCGTTTGTACATACTAAACGCAGCGCTCAAGTATAGCAACCCAAAAGGACGTGCAACTCCTCAAACATCACATCTAACATATCAAAATTTTCCTAATACAATCATATCATCCTCCATCTACAACCCCTCATACAACTCTCAAATGCAGCACTTCAAAAGCCGTTCAAGCGCAGCACCCACAGTCTAGCGAAACGTTAGCAACCTAGCTTAGCGCAAAGTTAGCGGAGTCAGCGGAGGTAAACAAGGCGGCGTGAAGGCAGAGCGAGTGTCAAACATGGCCGACGTGCAGGACGAGGACCAGTGGCTCTACGGCGACGAGAAGGACGAGTCCAAAGAGGATGGCGAAATAAACGAGAGAACAGGGGAGGAGGCGGATAGAGCGGGACAGGTCAGGACGTGAGATAAGGAGAAGGGGGGGAGTCCTTTGGGGCAGGAGGAGGAGGAGGGGAGGACCTCGTTTCTGGCGGCGAGGAGGAACCCGAGGGTCTTGGGGACGATTTGAATTGGGATTCGGGTTCGGGGGCGTCTCCTCGTCCGACTAATCCCAGGAATGACGGCGAGGTGCTGCGAACACGGGGATTACAGGGAGGGAGTGAAATGCGTCCCGAAATCTTACACCAAAGACATAAATAAAGCGGTTCTTAGAAATTCCTATTAATATTAACTATGCAGATGTTCAGGCTGGGACCCTGTTCAGCTGCGGGGAGTCGCAAAGAACACCTAAGACAACACAAGTAGGTAGAGAAAATAATTTCCATGAGAAAAGTAAAGGAACATGCTCGTCAGGTCAAAATATATGGTCATATTTGGGGCAGATGGGCCAAGACATGATCAAGATTTCGCAATATTGTTTTCTTTTGTATTTATTCAAATCTTGATAATAGTTCCTCAGTGCTGATACCAACATGTCTGATAGCGAATGTTTTGGAGATACGTGCATTACCACAACCTCCGTGCCCTGTCTGCTCCAGTAAAACCAAAGAGCCTCTACCAGATATATTCTGCAAGATATTCATGATCTCCCTGGTATATCCAGTGATTTTTAGTTTCACACAGCCATCCAGACTTGCGATTACTATTTCCTCTTCCAATTATCGATGCTGTAATATGTGTGAATCTTGTTATTTTCCATCGCAACTGATATAAATGAAATTATTGGCAATGTTTAAAAAGTGACGTTAACCCTCTGAGATTAAGTCCCAATTACTCTAGCCATTCGTGGAAAATCTATAAACATCGCTGTATGAACCAAAAAATCATCCTAACCCGGGGGCTTTGCCACCAGTCTCCATCCGATCACCATATTTTACTATTAGGGGCTTTTCCCTAGATCCTCACCCAATTGCTGTGGACTTGCTCGTCATTTGGCACTTGTGACCACCTACGTTCAAAATTTCTGACAGAATTTTTTTACTCATGCAAATTATTTTGTGTTTAAATGAGTTCTTATTATCAACTTGTGAAGGCAATATCATGCATGAAAATTGTCTTATTTTCAGTCACTCTGTCCATTACAGGCAAATTTTACCTTGTACTACATGGCTGTGAGAAGCTGAAACTATACCATGTATATATTCTGCCAGAAGATATGTGGCAGAGGTTTGTTAACTTTTGCCTAAGCACAGATGCCGTGGTAGTCATTTAACTTTACATAATAATAATCTAGACACAAGGAAATTGTTATTCCAGGACTTATTTACGGGGACGTTTCTTGTGATTTTGGTTAGAACACCTGTATGATTTGGGAAATAAAGTCCTATTTTAATCCAATAACTGTAGCTAAAATTTTGGTTGTAGTTTGTGGAAGTCAGGCCTTTGTTAGTATCAGCTGCTCTGTGTCTAAGTAATTGTCTGGTTGGGTGTGCAAGATATTTTTGCCTTTACTTAGTCGTATAGATAGCAAATAATAGAATTGTTATATCCAGCAGTAATGGGTGTCTCCCCGGGAACATATGCAACCATCTTGTAATATACGAGACACTTCTTTTCTCAGCTTATGCTCTGATTAGTTGCACTTGATGTGTTACCCCAGCGGCTTGTGGGTGTTTGTGTTGTTAAAAGCTGCTGATGGCATGTACGACATTTGCTTGTCGGATGGAGTTTGTTTTTCACCGATAGTGGTGGCTTCATTTATATGGTAAAGATTTTAGGCACTACCACCTATAATGAAAGTAAACCTTCTAAATTATAATATTTTTTATAAATTATAGCAAAATAAAAGCTCTTAGGTGCCAAATGTCGCTCACAAACTACCGAACGAGCCGGGCGCAAACAGGAAACTGCTAATGCACATGAACAATCTCGTTATCATGTCCACTTGCCAAACTTTTTTACCCAGCGATATTGGGTTAATCTGTAAAATAAATCAGAACATAGGTCAGTGACAGGTAGAAAATGTAAATGTGAATGATTTTGACCGTTGCACCACATGTAGACCACCCTAGTGTTATCACATAAGGTACCCATTCCTGTCAGAACATATGTGAAGTCTTGTTGGCCTGTCAACACAATACAGTCATTTATAAATTGGTAAACCAGTGTGTAGAGTTCAGCAAGCAACTGGGCAGGTGTACCTAAATCAATTGCTTTTGCACTCATGACGAGATGTCCCATCACCCAACACCAGTCTTGAAGACATGTTCCCCTCATCTCCCTTTGGACCAAATTTTTCCCTTGACAAGACATTCCATCATCTGCCCCTTGGCCAAATTTTTGAGTGTTATTCTTAGACACTATCATACTGACCTACACGTGGGGTATGCATTAATCAACTGCATTGGAAAATAGAAGGTGCAGGAAACGTAAAATGACCCTGCCCTCAATGATCTTGGCTCTTGGATAAACAATTGTATAGATGACAAGGCTAAAAAAAGGTGCATTGAGGGACTGGTTCTGACCGCAACGAGGGTCAAGCAAGCAAACCACTTGATAGCATCTTCAACTTGGAGCAGCCTTGACAATGCAAGACATGATGGAACGTCAGCCTGGTGCATGGCAAATGACCAAACTATCAGCAATTGGCAACACCCTGCATATTTGGCTTAGAGCTCAATATTTCCAGTAAATTTGACTTTTTTGTATAATAATGATAAAGATTAATGTAGAGTTGAATCTTTGTGAACACTGGATGAATATATAAGGTACCTGCAAATGGTAACATACTTTGAATTTACATGTAAAAACCTTAAGTGATTTCAGATGTTATAGCAGTTATTTGAATGATAAATCTAATTCCTGTAAGAAAGTTATAAGGTGGAAATGGATGTGATGACTTTTAGGCAGACAACTTTATTGCCACTGTGAACTACTCGGATGGTTTAGAATGTGTGATATGAATGTGTATAGGATGAAGTAGGATGTTAGCTGCTTCTTCTTCTTGTATTTCTTTTCCTAGATGAATTAAGTGCTCCTGTTTTTCTCCCTTTCTTATATTATGATCCTGAAATGTATACATGCATTTATTTATTCATTATTATTGTTATTAGGATATACTTTGATTAGCAATGTAAGGTTTGGGCAATATAATTTTTTTATTTTATGATTTATTATATGTGCATTGATTTTCAAACAATACCATGTATTAGATGGAACCAATGATAAAGATGCTAGCTTTGGTAAATATGTAGAAAAGGACAGTGCAAAAACAGTTAAACAAAGTAATTGTACTTCTGAGTGTCAGAAATAGTCTATATAAAGTAAAGGCAAGGTATGTTTAAACTCATGCAGCCAATTTCAGTAATGATATTGCCTCGGCATATTGGTCAGGTATCTCCTTCCTTTATATTTTGGCAAGATAGCGTGAAGATATAGTGTGTTGTCCTCCAAGATGATTAGTTATGAGAAGGATCCAGCACAATCTCTATCTTGCTAAATGTCTGAGAGGATGTTTGTTGGCATTTACCAGAGCATGGAGTGGGATGGGAAAATGGATTTTTATGTGGTGGTTACTTTTATGATAAGAACCACATGGAGCCTTCGAGAATCAGTTTTTCTATATCTCATCATGGAATGCCCTTCCCCACCTACCCAAAAGAACCCCATGAATGGATCTTTTTTTCAGATTCTTCCATTATCATATTCCAAAACATGAGTATTGATATCAAATATTCTCACTTTTTCCAGGAAAATGATCAGGAGAAGGAAACCCCAATGGAAGAGGGAGGAGGGAAGGATGGTGAGGAGAAGGATGGAGAAGACAAAGATGGGGATAAAGGTATGTATAGGCTTATAGATAGATAATCATTTTTAGGGTTTGTTCTTCAGTTTTATAGATAGGCAGATAGATATGAATATAGATATTGATTCTTTCTCTGTGTGCTAATATGTGAGAAACCCCTATAATGGCAGACCTAATATTTTATAGATAGTAGCGGCGAGATTTAGTTTTGTGCAGAATTTACTTAGTGAAGAAAAGAGAAGATTGGAATATAATTTATTTTGAAAAGGTAGACAATGAAAAAGTAGTAAGTTAGATATACTTAATTACATAGAGGAGGCTACTAATTTTTTTACCATTTTTGTATAAAAAAATTTGTTGATTTTTCTTCTATCCTTTTTTCAGACAAAGAAGGTGACAAGGAAGATGGTGAGAAAGGAGATGATGATGACAGTAGTGACGATGATGACTTGACAGTGACCATTGGTACGATCAAGACCCAGCCAGACATTATTCAGGCGGCTCCACATGGTGCGAGGTTCCAGCCTAAGGTAAGGAGTGTTATTGTTTAGAATTATGGTTATGTATGATGACAGTATTCACTTAGCCAAGTGAGTACTGACATCAGCATGCTAGAGTCATAGTTAGCACCTAAAGGAACTAACCCATCCTACTGCATCATTCCCAATAGACGTGCCATGACTTTTCAACAAGATGATCTATCTGTAATATGGCGATTATCTCTTCACAGTATTTCTTTATTGGTATTTCAATGGCAGACTCTTCATGCATAATTGTTTATATGAAAAAATAGGATTTTAGCCAAGTTTTCCTTTGTGTCTATGTTTTTAAGTTATCATTTCATGAATAGATTCAGTGAATATTTTATGCACTGAACCCATAAAACCTTGACACAGTTTGCATGACAGGGACATATTGATGGAATTACATTTAGCCCCGGGATTTGCTTATTATTCGTCATTGTCCATGGCTCGCTTTACAATCTCCTTTCTATTTGCGGCAGGCTGCGCCAACCACAGGTCTAAAGGATGAGGATTTCACATCGCCTGGGAAAGTGAATGGTGTTCCAGTGACAGAATTTAACCTTGACGACTTGGAAGATAAACCTTGGAGGTAAATTCCCTCTTCCCTCCCTTTTTCCTTTCCTCAATATGCTTCCTCCTCATCATCACCTTTTTTGGTTTTCTTGTTTTGTATTGTTATCCTTTCCTTTCTTTGGATAAGGTCCAAATAGAATGAAGTTTCTGTTTTAATCCGGCATCTCAAAAATTTGTGTGTGCATTACAGAAAGCCTGGTGCTGACATTTCGGATTACTTCAACTACGGCTTCAATGAAGAGACATGGTTCAAATACTGCGAGAGACAGAAGAGGATGCGAATTCAGGAATCAGGTGCTGGCTTGACGGGTCTCGGCATCAGTGTGACTAAGGTGTGTGAATGTATGAGGGGTGTAATGATTTTTTATTTTATTATGTATTTCTATTTTTTCATTATTATTATTATTTTTTGTGAGTTGAATATGTATTTTGAATTATTTTTGTGGTATTGCTATATATTAAGTTTGCGTTATACCATGAGGGATTGTTTCAGATCAATTGTGTAATGTCAGAATATATAAGTTGGTAAAAAAGGGTGGATTCTGAGACATTATTCTCTTAATCTTGTTTTTCAGCCTTTTGGTAACACTCCCAGCAGTATCCCAGTAGCCATTGTAAATGATAACAGCAAATATGGAGGTTCGGGCTCCCAACGGCCGAAGGCAGGCCCACCTCCACGCAACAAAGGCATGGGCCAGATTGACGTCATTGGGGGTGCTTCAAACCCTAAGACCAGCACGATACAGGTATTGCACTTTGGTTGTTTGAGTGAGAGGAAAATGCTTCCTTTATAAGATTGTGATATGAAAAGACTCATATTTTCTCCTTTCCTTTTTCTATTTTTTTCTTTTCATTTCTTTATTTTTGAGTCATGGCTATTGCTGGTGTGTCTCTGTATGATATTGTGGTAAATACAGCACATTCAGCATTCAAGTAAGATACAAAATATATTTTTATTAGTTCCAAATATATTGATACTGTTTTTACAAGTTCAATATCTCTGTCAGTACCTTCGTTATCATAAGCAGGATCATAAATATTTTATTTTATTTCTGTTCTTAGGTCATGACGGCTGATAGACGAGAATACTCCAACAAGGTAATGATGAATGGGCCTCCTCCACCTTTGCCTCCGTCACAGCCAGGATATAACGATATGGAGTAAGAACTTTATTTGGCTTTTGATATCTTTTGTTAAGCGTCTTTAATGTTTAGGGTGTTGCAAGTTTTTTTTTTTTTCTGTTGGTCTTTTCTTTTTCTAATGTATGTATTAGAAGATTAGATTTGAATGATCTTGGGCAGATATTCCACCCTATCACAAGCAGTTATCACATTTTTTTTTCTCCATTATAACCTCAAGGATGTGATAGCAGTTCCCTATTCTCCATGGGTTAAAGACCTTTACTTTCATGCTTTGTGATGCTGTAATGAGATTGCTTCATATTCTAAAAGCAATATGAAGCACAATGATCTTCTTTTCTTCTATATTTTCTTGAATTTTTAGTTCAAAGAAAAAATAAATCCTATGTTTTTTTTACTTTTTTTATTTGATTTGATTTGATTTTTTCTCATAGAATGCTCTGCTATGAGTTAATTATTAGGCATACCTACCCTTACCTGTTTACTACATTCCTTGAATTTGTGGATTAGTTTTAATTCTCTTACTATTATCATTATTAAGCATATTGTTATTGTTATTATTTCTTAGATTTATAATGATGATAAATATGAGAAATGTTATTAATATAATTAACAGTGCCTGTGTATTTTTGTTGTCAGTGGCTTAAAAATTTAGTAAGAAGACCCAACGCTATAGATTCACACTGTGTCTTTATTCCCAGAGCTTTCCTGGGTAAAGACCACTCTCGGTCTATTTTGGTATATCTGTCTGTCAGGCCACAATGGTTAAGCTTTAGAGCTGGATTTAGGTATTGAAATTGCAGCTTGAAACTGGAAACCTAAATGCTATATAGTTTTTTATTTTTATTATTATTGTTTCTCATTTACCTCCATTCCTCTCTCAGATTTGGAGGTAACCCGTATGGTGACACCTACTATGGCAACGAGGGCAACAACTTCTACGGAGGTGGTTCCTATGACAACCCCTCTGGGTGGGGCTCAGGGGGACAGCCTCCCATGGGCAACCAGGGCAACTGGGAAGGCCAAGGGGGAGGAGGAGGAGCACCGCCAAATGTGCTGCCGGTGTCAGGCGGTGGAGGGTACTTCGATGAGGACTCTGTAGGGGCGCCTCCCCCATCCGCAGAACCCGAGGAGGAGAGACACCGGTGAGTGCACCTGTCTGTTTTTGCTGTTGTAAGGGTGGCTGTGAAATACCATAGGTGCTGAGGCAAAATGAGCGAGATTGCAATTATCATTCGGCCAAAAATATATTCCCTGCAATAATTATTAACCCTTCTAAAAGTATTGGATTTTCAAATGATTTCCTTTTTCTTCCTCTTCTTCACCTAATTTTGCATGTAATAATTTTTTTCTTCTTTTCAAATTCAAAACTATCACAAATACTGTCTGTTTATGTATGTAATTTAGAAGACCTTTTTTAATATTTGTGAAATTTAGGTGACCCTTTCTAACTTGAAAAAATTGATTTCCAGATCCCGAAGAAGCCACAGATCACGCAGCCGTTCCCCAAGTCGACACAGACACTCGAGCAGACACCCAAGATCGCGTTCCAGATCACCTTCCCATAGACACAAGAGAAAGAAGTCAAAGAGAGAACGCGACACCGATTAGAAAGAAGGAAATATTTGTGTCTAGTACAAACAGCTAACGTCTGTCGCATTCTCGGGTCTATATTTATATGGCATCCTGTATCCATGCATTGTTGGAATACATGCATAGATAAGAAATGATTTTTTTTTTTTTTTTTTTTTCCCCCCCACCCTTTTTTAACTTAATGTTGGTTAGGAAATGGACTGTAACTAGAAATATTATGAATAATAGCATACCTTTGATTACATTAACTACACATGCGTTATATAAGCCTTTAATTTTGTGAAAATAGAAATCATACATTTTCAAGCTAAATTGTTTCATTATCCAATTTATATTGATAAAAGTAATTCATTTATGCAGATACAATACAATAATGATAGTATTTAGAATACTACAACTATGGCAACAGAATGATGTCAATAAACATAGAAAGTCTTGGCCTTAGAAACTGTCTTCAATAAGCAGAGGCAGGTTCTTCATATTTTAATGATGGGAGTGATTGCATATTTCTCGCAAAATGCACTTTGGAGATAAAAAGTTGTTGATTGTAGAAGTAAGGAAAACATAATTTCACTGTTAAGGTTTAGGCAATGTGGATCTGCACTCTCTAGTTCTGCAGTGTAAAATAATGGTACTAACTAATTATCATAGGCAGTTTTTCCCTCGTGAAACACTGATTAAAGTTGCATGAAGAGTATATACTTTTTTAGCACTAAGTGACTTTGGTTTATGTAAATATCATGGATGGAAAAATGATTTTTTTTAGAAGTCCCTCTTTTTGGGCAAAGAGAGTGAAATCAATATTACAATATCACTGAGTTTCTTATGACTTACGCCTTTCCTTTTACACTTTTACTTGGTTATTAAGAAAGTAGGAACATGTAAGGAAGAAGCTATATAGGTTATGAAAGACAAATGATTTTGATAAATAGTGAATTGCTAAAGAAAGGATTGTTTTGTTTCAATAGTGGAGTAGTTTAGAATAACACCATTATTTGGAAAAATGTAGCAGTATGAGAATTCATTTTAAGAGTGTAGTTAATAAGACTGTGTTCATTGTTGTGCACTGCATTTTGCATTTAAAAGATGAAGTATGACCTATAAGTAAAAAGAAAAAAGCCAATTTGTCGTTAAGTTAAACTTGAATAACATAGTTTCTTTTGGCATATAATCTTGAAAGACAGACCAATTTTTGATTGAAAAGTGCAAAATGATAAAAATAGTAAACATTTTGTTCTTATGTACTGCTTTAATTCAGTAAACTTGGAGTGAATTACACAGTTTTTGTAATTACTTGTTTTTGTGCTTTTGGAGGAATCAGTTTACTCTCCCAGTTCTTATATAGATTTAAGATGGTCTTTTGAATGAAAATCTCAATTAATGGGAGATGGATTATTATGACCTTGTACAAGAGACACGTTTCAAAAGTGTTTAAGAAATTTAGATCATGTACTGACATCAGACAGCAGTCATACATATTTTTACTATGAAAAATAATACAGTTACAGGTCCCAATAAACATGATTGATTAGCCAATGATAAAGGGAGATACAAATGTAAAAATATGGTGTTTCCGTGCAAAAGGTTCGAGTAGGAAGGTTCTGTACATTGATAAAGTTATTATTTCAAATGTGCTACGCCTTTGGATGGTGATATCATGCCAATCTAGAGGTGTTCTACTTTTTATGTTGAAGTTCACAAAAAGAGTTGAAGAATTGCTTGTAACAATTTCATGTTTTTCCTCTTGTTTACTGACATAGTAATATTGCCTCTCCAGTTTGTATTTCTCTTTTATCCTTACCAGAAACCATGGACAAATTATCAGGTGTCCCCCTTTTGTTTTTCATCTATAATATGCATGGTTAAATATATTCCTAAAATTAGTGGGAGTAAGCTTACGAGATTTCTGTTGACATGAAAATTGTCTATATAACTGCATCTTCCGACCTCACATTTTAAATACAACAGTATTTAAATTATCTTTATGCTCAACACATACCCATGAATCCAACAGCGGTGTTGTTCATCCAATAATGAGCATATACTATCTGTGGCATGCACTATGATGCAATATTGATATATTATTTGGCATTTCTTTCTGAACTATTACTGCCCCTCATGCCACCCCTCAGGGCCCTATGTAACTGTAATGAGAAATTAAAGCATTTCTTGAATCTAAATTGAGGGAATATGCAATACATTGTGAATTACAGGAAGATACACATAGATGGTTAATGGTTAAAACAAATAAATGTGCTAGACATCAGAGGTTATATGGAAGGGACTGAGGCAAAAAGCATAAACACGAGTAAACAATTAAGGTAAATTGTGCTAGATATCAAAGTTGTAGAGCGCTAAATAATACGATAGTGAAAAGGGTAAAGGGGAGAGCATATAAAGTATGGTGAGGATTTGTAAAACGTGAATGGGGTTAAGGGTATTGGGTGAATTAGATCAAATGGAGAGAATCTATGTATCTGAGGAAGGGAGAGAAGATACATCATTAATACTCTAATACCTACCCTAATCTCAAGATTATGTATCTCCTCACAATGTACAGTATTCTAAATCAGCCACAGGAACATACATTTTTTTTTCTTTGTTTTATGCATTGTCTGTTTACAATGCATTTCATAAGAAAAAATGGCATTATGCAATTTTTTACACTAGCGAAGTAGTTGCTGAACTATTCTAGTTAACGTGCAGTTCATATACCGTTTTGCTAGGAAATTAAATATTTTAAACTGAAATAAGAGCATGAAATTTTGTTTGTAAAATGTTCTAATGATTTTAATTAATCTAACAACAAAATTTAATAAATTTACTGAGTTTTTTCAAAACATGACTAAAACCTTTGGGTTCTATAGCCTACATGCCTTACAGATCATTGCAGAGCGAGTTTTTATCCTTTGAAATTTAATAATTTTCTAAGTTAACAGTGATAACCTCTTCCCAGGATGTTGCTAATACTGTAAAATTCATCAGTTCATATCTGTTTTTCATCTTTATACAAAAGTTGTTTTTATAGTTATAAGAATTATGATTTTTTTTTCATAATCATACATCCTTTTCACAAGTAACAATCTCATCATTGTACTTTTATTATTTTTCATTTATATGAAGGGGGAACAGTAATGAACATTGACTCCTATAGTACAGAATTTCATATGCACACAAAAGGGAGATACTAGTTCATTTATTTTACCAATTTATTTCTTGTCTGCTTTTAACTGTAAGCTTGAGAGCCTGTGGCCAGTTGCTACTTTGACTAAACATCACTGACAGCAATGGAACCTGAATCTGAATAGAAATGGTATTTAAACTGTAAATTGTGAATACTGGGGAAGATTTTCAGCAACATTAAAATATGTTCAGTTTTTTTGGTAGCAACGACAGCTCTGGCATCCATCTATAAATGTTCAGCAGTCCGTAGTTAAACACACAGCTATTGTGATTTGGATATTTATATAAAAAAGACACTTTGTTAGTAGTGAGTTAATTTGATTTTAAAAACTTCATTGGTTTTATAATTCCATTTTATCATTCTCACATATCATTGATTCAGACATTATCTTTATCTTCTATTAAGAATATATTATTTAGTGCTTTGTATGGCAAAAGATCAGTAATAAATGCATACACAAAGGCTGAAGGATATCATTTTGTTTTTATTTCTTTTTGGATATTATCATGAAACTTAAACCTGTAATTCATATTTGAACTTGAACATAGCACCACGCATCCTTTTTTTTTCCACTTCTATGGTTGGGAAATTAAACAAAAAATATCTTGGAATATATTATTAGTAAAGCTTTGTTGTTTGAAATGCTACTGGAGTTGTAAATCAGTTATTTTCAATACTAACTTCAGTTTATGATATAATTTTATTGCATTGATATCTAAATAATTCTCAAAAAATATATCTTTTATAGTATGTACATACAAAGCAGTTATTCAGCATTGTATCTCTATATAAATGATGTCAAAATGAAAAAATAATCATTGCATTGAGCACTGGATTAGTAAAAGACATTATATAGCATTCATTCCTTTTAAATTGAAGAGTAGTTACTTCTTGGTTACAACTTCGTACATATCGCCCCTCCTTTGGGAACCCAGGGGAACCATCTGGCGGACTTTCTGCACGTAATCCAAGTCTGTTTGGGTGAAAAGATACAGAGTGAAAATTTGTTTGTACATCTGAGGGGGTGGGGAGAGATACATACAAACTCATATTCATCATCCCCTATATATATATATATATATATATATATATATATATATATATATATATATTTTTTTTTTTTTTTTTTTTTTTTCT